AATTAGGAAAACACAAATTACATGCTGCCCGTCATTTCTCCAACCCTTGGCTGTCGTTAACTCATTTTCAAGGACTGAGACTAAGAGCTCCAAGCTTTGCTTAGGAAATGAAGTTCTTACCATGTTCATGTTGTTCGTGTTAAATCCCCCCAGAAGTAATATGATGTTGCTGCAGATCTGGTCAAGAATCATCTGGCCACAAAGGTAAATGAAAAGCTGTCTGAAAAATCTAGTCTGATATAAAAATTCCTGTCTGCCAAACAACCCCTGTGAAGATAAGATATGAAATAATGGCCATGACAATATACCCAGGAACAGAAATGGTTTCTGTTTAAAGCATGCATCGTAAGAAATAATCCCCAGCAGACTGAGACATCTGTGCTGTCACATACCTTTATCATCATATCTGGCAGCAGCAAAAATTTGGTACCAGGACTTCTTGCATATTTAACAGTGGCTATAGGGGCTAAGGCAAAATACATTTTTATTTTATGAGCTAGCTCTGGCATCGTGGAAAATGCAATAAAGCCTGTAAAAGAGAAAAATTCATCACCACGGGTACCGGATAGCTAATAACTCATAAAATGTGTATTTTACTTCTGTCAAAATCCTCTAATAATTATGTGTGATTGTGTCTTACTCTTCCTCCGATGCAATTATAGGCTTCAGGGACGTAGTGTATGTATGGGATGGGGTGGGGGTGGGTTTTAATGCAAAAACTCTTGTGTTTCGTGTGACACCTTTCATATTTGTTTTCGGGTAGTATGTCCTCATTGAGTTAAACTGTTCGGTTTCATGCCCAGAGTAGAAAGAACAATTTCCCAAATACTCTTACTATTGAAGATCTCTGCTGAAGCTATACAAGAGAAAGGCTGTCCCATGAAGCCAGGACCTGGTCTTATATTTGAAATCATTTATATATGCACACTCTCTGTTTAGGCTGATACTTCCAGTTTGAGGGATGGGGCTGAGGAAAAGTCGACTCATGACCTCTGTTCAGTTCCCAGAAAGTGAATGGGTATGAGAGAGGGCAGAATCTTTCTATACAGTCCTCTTTATCTGATTAGGTTTGCTAACTATAAGCAAAGACAAATACAGAAGAGACTTATTATTACCTCTTGCTTTCTCAGCTATGCTGTGAGTACACATGGATGGGAGTACATAAACTTATCCCAAGCAGATTAATTCTGTCCAGATTAGAACTCTTCTCAAATGTCAAGATCTGAGAGCCCTAAATAGCCTCTCCCAGGAAGACTTCTTATCATACAAAGCAAGTTCAAGGTTTTTATTTTAACAGCCCCATGGTTTATCACTCGACAAATGTATGCTCTCTCTATCATTCATTCCTCTTAAAACAGCCTCTAGCCTTGCCACTAGCACTCTGCCTTCATGCTAAACTCAACAATTTGAGTACAGAGAAACCAGTTTAAAAATACCTCTGAATTGTAGAGGTATGAAGCATTGTAACTTTTCTGTCTCTGGTTTGACGAGAGGAGCAACACTACATTACTGTTATCCAAGATTAAGAGAAGGGAAGTGTGAAACCAAAGCTTCTTTCATCCTTTAGGGTATGGGTTAAAAATGAGCCCACTGAATTTGAGCTCTCAGTTCCAACAGCCATTGAAATTTTTAATTCCTAATACATCTTTAATCTTATGTGATATCGTAACAGTCTTGGTGATTGTTGGAAATTTTTATAGGAAACAAGTTGGTTCCATGAATGAGACCTAAGAAGCCCCAGTGGAAACCTGTTGGGAGCCAAATCTCAGGGTTTGGCATGAGATCCTAGGTCATGCTTGTCAGGCCATATAATTAACCTTTACACAGCAGCTCCTTAGAACCTCAGCTCAAGAAAAAAAACCAACTTGACCCAGTCCTCCACCCACAGGCTCAGTCATCTAAGCAACCCCTTCCTGGACCTCTTACTCATGAACTCTTTACCCTGCCAAACATCTTCTTTGTGGCTTCCTAATATCCTGCCTATACTAACACCTGGTGCACAAACAACCCATTCTGCCCCTCCCCATATCATGCTTTGCTGACTATATAAGCTAACCTGAGAAAAAAGTAAAGTTTGCCGCTTGATCAGAATCCTGTCCTGTGGTTGTTCTTTCTGTGTCTCCTGTCCCCCATTCCCTATCCCTGACTCTCTTGCCCCAGGTTGATGTCCTGCAGGTCAGGATAGAAACCGCATAATTCCCAATAGATACTGATAGTAATGTGATTGATACAGATGAAGAACAAAAGATAAACAAACTTAGCCAGCTATACTGTGCTTACTGTGCTTCAGAATCAGGCTAATTTTGTGTGTAAATCATGCTATTTGTCTAGCAAAAGTTGATGTCTAAGACTTGGCCACAACTACTCTGTATGATGAGTATCCTGGGCTGGATAAATTTTAGGGGAAATGCTGACATTTGGTACACATAAATTCTCCAATAACATGTTGAACCTGCATATAACAATTTTCTCCTTCTCATCCTGGCTCATTCTCCTTTGAATTTCTCAAAGTAAGTACAGTAAGTCACTTATTCCTTTAGTAGAGTGTTAACAGAGCCCTGAGGAATTTCAGAGAAAGGTAAGTGGTCACTACATTCATTGGGGAAAATGGGAGCTAGTCAAAAGGTAAGTTTGGTGACACCATTTAATGATAAGTGAGAACTTTGGCAGAATGGAACTACAATGGCGAGTCAGTAACCATGACCAGATTGATTGCGTGGTCTGCTGGCACCATAGTGTATTGCTGAGTTAAGGCAATAACGAGAATCCCATGAGTTAACTCAGTGCTAATTGAGGTCTGTCTGCCTGAATTCATAATACTTCAGTAGAACAACAGGTTTCAAAGGTATCCTTGTCTGGTCCTTGAAAGACTGGACTTAATAGTCCTCAATGGTTGTAGAGATGGAAGTAAGACTCTTCTAGGAGCTGAGGAATGTGTGTGTGTGTGTGTGTGTGTGTGTGTGTGTGTGTGTGTGTGTGTGTGTGTGTATTTCCCATTCAATGTGTTGCCCTCACTGTGTATTTGTCATTTGACATGCACAAGTGCAGTTACTGGTTTAGTGGCTCACACTTAAGTCCCTAGTTCTTTCTTTATGTTACAATTCATTCATCTATAAAACGGGGATTATTATGAAGGCTAAAACAATACAAAGATACTACCGAATACTTAACTTCATCTTCTTAATGAGTAGAAACACTGTCTTGGTAACTAGACATAGCTACCCTGAATAAAAAGAATATATATTTCCTTAGAAAACTGTAATTCTTTCAGACAAAGATAAAGAGCCTGGATTAATTCCAGATTTTAAACCCTCCCTTTGTTTCATAGCTCTTCCTCCTAATCCAAGCCTAGTGGGTGTTTTCTCATTGGTTTGGGTATGATATGAGACCAGAATAGCCACTGTTCCCATGTCCCTTTGTAAGTGATCTTGTCCTGAGGGGTGGTATGTCAGTCTCTCACAGATTCACTCAAAGTAGGACATAAGCACCTAATGCGAGACTGGTAATGACAGCAAGAGAGAAACTTGAGTTAACACCATCAGTTCTGTTTATCACTCGATGATAACTCTGTGTCTTTGTTACTGCTCTCTACGAGGCCAACTCTGAACCCAAGACTTCGTTCACTGAACACATTCATCGAGTGCATACTCTGGGCTACAAACTTCAATTACAACTGTGTTTTTGACAAAATACCTGCTGCCTTCTCAGAGCTAACATACATCATTGTATTAAGTAATAGTCCAATTACTTAGAATGCCTTAAGACAGAATTATTGTCTCCATTTTGCAGATGAGGAAATTGAAACCAGTGTGATTAAAGGATTTGTTTTGGGATATCGTCTAAAGAGTGGCAGAGATGGTATTTGCACCTACCCCATCTGCCACACCCTAGGCCTCTTTCAGTTCAGCCTCCATTCCCTGAAGCTTTTAGAGCCACCAAAGAGGAGAAAGCCAGGTGAGGGGAGTAATTGACTGAGCCCAATTACAGGCTCACACTTCTACAGATACAAACCTTCTTTCCTGTGAACCTACCCATGGTGGTGCCCTGTGAATAGCCGACATAATAGATCTTTTTCTGGCCTGTTTTCTGTAAGATAAAGTTTATCACAGCGGGAAGGTCAAACCTAGCCATTTCATCATAACTACAAGGGGAAAAGACAAAGTTAGATATCAATTATAATACAAACAGAACACAGTCAAAAATCACTCACCTCCCTCCCCCAGCATCTGCCAACAAGTCCCCCCTATTGTCAGCTCTTACTGTGTTTCTCATAACACAGACTTGCTTCAAGCTGTGGTGACTCTGTGACATCACAGACTGATAGAAATGTCTATTCTCTTTGGATGTTATAACAGAGTGAAGATTATTGAATAGTTTTGGACACACAAGCCAACTCCTAATGTGAGTAGTGTTATACCCTGTAAATAGAACAGCACAGTGGGATGCAGATTTCTTTGTAGGACAAATACTGGAAGTGTAGCAGAACTCTTGTCTGATGAAATGGATAAAGAATAGATTGAATATTGGTGGTAAGTAAGGACCTTAGGAACTCCAGTGAAGTTACGAGAGACTACTTAAGTTGGTGGCACACAGAGATGAATAAATCCCCATTTAATGACACTTGATCTCATCTCCTGGGGGTGTCAGCCATGTTGTCACATATGAGGGAGTTAATCCTAGATATTCACTCATATGAAAATGGACCTACACTTTTCTCACTGCAGCCTCAATCACTGGACACCAACCACTGTTCTCACCCCCTTGTTAGCCAGACCTTGGGAAAGCCAGTCTTCTCCTTTCTTACCCTAAGCATCTCAAGATAATTAGGAAAAATGGGGGATATCAAGTTGGGAATTTGATGATACAACTAAATGAGCTATCCAAGTGCTGCAAGCCACAAATCTTCACCCACTTCTTGGGTGCATCTCCGTCCACCTCCATCCTCAAAGGTTTCTTGTACCTGAAAGCCCAGAACTCATCTTGGTCTATGGAGAGAGTCTTGTGTTTCCGAGACCAGGTATTTCCTCTGCTGTTTCCCATCCACACATCAAAGCCAGCGTCAGCCAGAATGAAGCCCAGGCTGTTGTTGGGCAGGTTGGAAATCCAGTTGCTAGCATCCCCAAGAAGGCCATGCTGCAGTAGTACCACTGGCCTGGACCCTGCAGACAAAGCAAATTCCAACTGCCATGAAAAGATCTCTGTTCTTGCTTTCTCTACAAACAAGGACTTGCATGCCAGGGAAATTTGTGTGCAAATCTTTCTTTTACTGCTTGCTAGTTGGATTTTCTTAGTTGACTTTTTAATGCTTTTCTTGTGTTTTAGGTTCTTCACCACCAGAAAATAGGAATTTTTTGTGTTATGAATATATAAAATACATCACAAGGAACAGACAGCACACTGCCTGTCAATGGGGGGTAAAAAAACAAAACAAAAACAAATCTAAAATGCAGTTTCCAAGGTTGTTTTTCGAGGAACTATAAGTATGAAACTGTTAGTATTAGGTCCTCCAAAAATATTTGGGCTGCTTCAGAAGAGGATATTTTATAATGACGAACACACACACACACACACACACACACACATCGCCCTAATGATGAAGGCTAGTACATGTAAAAAGGACCTAAGCTCCCATGCTTCAGAGAAATGTGTCTATCAGAATAAAATTGTAAGATGGGTGTGGTGGCCTATACTTGTAAAACCAGAACTGAGGAGACTAATTCAGGAGGATCATGATTTTTAGGCTAGCCAGGGCTACACAACAAGACTCAATCAAAACCCAAATGAATGAATAAAAAACCCAATTACAATCCATTAGGAAGTAACAGGAACTGTAAGAATATCGGCCACTAGCCAGGTGTTGGTGGTGCACGACTTTAATCCCAGCACTCATGAGACAGAGGCAGGGGATCTCTGTGAGTTCGAGACCAGCCTGGCCTACAAGAGCTAGTACCAGGAAAGCCTCCAAAGCCACAGAGAAACCCTGTCTTGAAAATACAAACAATAACAACAAAAAACAAAAACAAAACAAAAATTGGCCACTAGGGGGCTGTATTGCACACCAATTGAACAAAGAGGCTTTTTGAAGGTCAACACTCATGCCACTCAGCAGTATGTGAGTACAAACTTGACCCTCGGAGCAGGGCGGGAGTCCTCTTCTCACTGAGCTGAGCAGTCAATACCGTCACTTGACTGGAAGCACCAAGCCTTGCCCAAGCCTGTAGGACTTGTGGGACTTAGTGAAAAGTCTGTTTCTAGGGTATTCATCTATTTGCACATCTCATTCCTTCATCTCACAAATAAATTTATCAGTACCTAGACTATGCTCAGCATACCAAGGTATGTTAGCTGATGCACAGACCTTGAATGAAATAGAGGTCCCTGCTTTATTGAGTTTCCACTCTGGCGGAGGAGAAAAAGAAACTCTGAAGAAAGCAGCTACTGTATGGAATGTCTTCAGGCATATAAGGGAAAGAATTAGGGAGTGAGGCCATGTGTCAGAAGAAGGCATGAGGCTGCATTCTGAACAGAGTGGTCAGGGAAGAAGAAGAAGGGTCTTGGAAAGCTGCAAAAAAGAATTATAAGTTCACAGGCATTGGGGTGGAAACCAAGCAGACTGCAATCAGGTTAAACATGTGTGAAACAGGGACTCATTTTTTAAAAAAGACTTTGCAAGCACAGATTGGGATAAACAGAAATCTGTACTTTTTACATCAAAGACCAATAACGTTTGGCCAGTGTTAGTTAAGAACATGGGCTGCACCCTGACAAACATCTTGATTTGAGTGCCGCAAGTATTACGATGGAATTTCTGGTCTAGTTTGTGGCAGAGTCATAATGAAAATTACATGAGACTAAGAAAACGAAGCACTTGATATTATAGCAGGTATACAGAGAGGACCCAAGAAGTTATATTTTGTCACCCATGACAAAAATGTAGTTGCTGTTATCAATGCAGAGCCAAAATATGAAAGGCACAAACATCAGTAGTTTAAAGAGTGTCAGCTGAGAATCTCATATAAAAAATGAAATTAAGCAAAAGACATGAACACACACTGAAAATTAACATATGTGCACCAGAGCCTAGTTCCTAGTCCTCAGTGGAAAAGGAAGCAACATCCCAAGTGTTTGAAGTACTCTTTGGTTGGGGAACACATTGTACAACTTGGAGCTTCAGGTACTTCCTGGGAGCTTTTCTCTTCATTTGGTCTTTTCCAGGAATCATCAGAGTATATACTAGAATTTCTATGTAGGAAATGGATTAAGTGCCAGCATGGAAAAAATCCATTAAAATGGATTTCTTGAAGATCTGTTCTGTTTGTGGGGTTTTGTTTTATTTTTATTTTATTTTATAATGATGGTAACTGAACCCAGGGACTCACAAATGCTTGTCCTGTTTTCTACCCATGATCTCCCTCTCTAGATCCAAGGTAATTTTGAAAAGAAAACATCCGTCTAAGATAGTTGATGGGTATGGGTGGGTATGGAATGTTATATGGTAATAGGGACAGACATTATGTGGGAACTGGCATTACCTTTCAGCCTAATCAAGAGACTTCAGACTGTCCTAAGAACCAAACTTAATTCTACATGTCAAGAAAGTCTGACCTACAAGAAGACTATCATACTGGGCTGACACCAAGTAAATCCATACCTTCCTTTTTTAATTGAGTCAGTCCTTGAGGGATTCTGTTCACAGAAAGGATGTATCCATCTTCAGTTGCAACTTCATATTCCTCACTGGGATAACCCTTGTGTTTGATGATTTCGCTCTATGGAAAACAAGCAAGCAAACAAACAAAAACCTCACGATTTATTTAGAATTCAGGTCTACATGGTCATTGCCACCACGGTCTCAAGAGCAAGATTAACTTCTTTGGTGTTGCAAGAAGGTCCATATTGTTTCAGTACTGGAGACCACACCCAGGGCCTCACACATTAGGCAAGTGCTCTGCCACTGAACTATACCCCATCTCTCTCACTTCTTTTTTGTTCTTCATATGGAGACTGAAACGAGACCATGGTTTTCAGTAGTTGGGTCAATTCTGTCAGCCTCCCCTGGGTATTGCTAGGAAGGCAGAGAATGGCTATAAAACCTACTGTCTTAGGAACCCTGAAGATACATCCCAGCAACCTGAGTTTTGAAAAGTTCTTCACAGAACTCTGACATTTGAAAAACACTGAAGCAGAACACAGATTCCAAAGCCCACACATGTGTCAGAATCATCCAGGGCCACTGAAGGTATAGAATCTTGGGCTCAGGCCACATTAGAAATCAGACCATTGTACTGCAATTGTTAGCACACCTGTTTTGGAGGTGACTTAAGGACATTCCTGGGTCCCTTAGTCCCTTAGACTCTTTTAGTTTTAAACTTACAGACTAAAGAACAGTAAGTCTTAGCTTTTAGACAGAAAAAAGCCCTCTTTGGTTTTGGGGATAAATATTAACATGCTATGCATAAACTTTTTGTATGTAATTTCAAGAGTCTCAAACTCCTTCGTGTTTGCACTGGACCACTGGCTAAGCATCTCTACTCCAGATAGTAGTGCATGCTGAAACTCTTCCTCCTAAGCCTGCATGCAGCTCTTGCCATCTGTCACCATCTCATCAGTCAGAGAAGGAGGGGACCTTTTCAATCAGGGGCTGTTGTAAAATGAGTAAGAGAGGAGAAGCCATGTACCAAAGTGTTAGTGCTGAATATAGAGTAACAAGCATAGTCATTAAGAAGAAAGGCCAAGCCAGGGGTGGGGGTGGGGATGGGGGACTGTTGTTATTGGAGCACACCTTTAATCCCAGTACTGGGGAGGCAGAGTAAGGCAGAACTCTGGTTTAAAGCCAGCATGTTCTACAGAGTAAGTTCCAGGAGAGCTGATACACAGAGAAACTCTGTCTTGAAAGAAAACAAACAAAAAAACAAAAGGCTGAGGTCTCCTGCTGGGCTATAAACTAATACACAAGTGACCTGTGTGATATCGAAAACCTTAACTACTTACTATTCCTTACTTTATTCCTCTGCTAGTTCATGCTATATAGGATAAGGCAAGGAATATGCACAAAACACTAATGAAATGCCTGACACCAACAATATGTACTCAGTAGGAATTATACATAATTAAAACCCAATAAGTACACAATCAAAATCCAACTAACCAAACATTGTGGAATTGTGTGTGTGTGAGAGTGTGCGAGAGAGTGCGCGTGTGTGTGTGTGTGTGTGTGTGTGTGTGTGTGTGTGTGTGTGTGTGTGTGTATTCTACCATTGCATGGTTAAATTGTTTTGATCATGCATCAAACCTACTTAGAGGGCTTGTCAAGACACAGATTGCTGGATTCCATACTCAGAGTTTTGGCAGGTCTGGAGTGGATCCAAATTATTATTATTTTTTTATTCTTCTCTCATATATTACATCCCAATCCCTGTTTCCTCTCCCTCCACTCCTCCCAGGCCCTCCCCACAACTTTCTTTTCTTTTTCCCCCCGGTCCCCCCCCCCCCCCCTTCCCCTTTGTATCATT